ATAGAATAGAAAATAGAATAGAATATAGAATAGAACGGAACGGAATAAATATTGGAATAGTTTAGTATAGAACAGAACAGAAGCTGGAAGGGACCTCAGAGGTCTTCTAGTCCAGCCCGCTGCTCAAGCAGGAGACCCTACACCATTTCAGCCAAGTGACTGTCCAGGCTCTTCTTAGAAACCTCCAGTGATGAAGAAGCACCCACAACTTCTGGTGGCAAGTCGTTCCCCTGGTTCATTCTCCTCACTGTCAGGAAGCTCCCTCCTCCTTAATTCCAGCTCGCTTCTCCCCCTGATGAGTTTCCATCCATTGGAGAACCCTTTTTGCCCCCCACCCCAGTTCTCAGAGGCCCAACAGTGCAGAGTCCATCATCCCCTCCTGGATGGCCACGAGGAGGACCAACAGAACTGGCCAGGAGTCCAGCTTCTCTTCCAGACATCCTCAGGGGGGGAGGGTCCCTGCGACCCCACCCAAGATCTCCAAGCCAAGTAGACCAGGCCTTGTTTCTCTAGACGTCCTTCTTCCGCCTCCTTACCTGGCGAGCTCGGATACGTCGTTGTCGTCCAGGTGGTTCCCAGAGAGTCCCAGGTGGGTCAAGGCGCAGCCTTCCTGTCCCGAGAAGCACCAAGGGTCAGAATTGGAGTCTGGGAGGGAGGGGAGGGTCCCCGTGCCTTTGATCTTCTCCCGACCCCCCTAAAAAAACCCACAGCCCCAGGCCACCACCCCCCGCCCCATCTTGGCCACCGGAGACCACCCACCTGCCTCAGGTATCTGACCAGGGTGTCCCTCAGCTGTGGCCGGTCCCCCGGCCTGGGTTCCAGGGAGCCCACCTCCAGGTGGGTCAGCGATTCGAAGGGCAGGCTTTCCAGCACCACCCCGAGCCCCCGGGAGCCCAGGGCGTTGTGGGACAGAGCGAGCCTCTTGAGGTGCACAGCTCCTGCGAGGGGGGAAACGTAGGGATAAGAAAGAGTTGGGGAGGGGGGCCTTGGGAGGTCATCTAGTCCAGCCCTCCCCTCGCATGAGCAGGAGAGTCTATCCCAATGTGGGCGAAACCTTTTGGGCACTGAGTGCCGAAATAATAAGAATGCAGGTGTGCGCGGGGGAGCGCCAGCCAACCGGGAAGAGCAGCTCCCCAGCACGCATCAACTTCCGGTTGCTGGCGCCCACGTGCGTGTGCGAAAACCAGCTGGCTGGCACGGAGTGTGCCGGACCTTGGAAGAGCCAACAGGCGACAAGCTGTCGTGCCCGGAGAGATGGCTCGGCGTGCCGTTTCTGGCACTGCATGCCACAGGGTTCACCATCCCGGGTCTATTCCAAGTACCAGCCTCTACCCAGGATCGAACTCATGGCCTCCCCATGGTGAGGCGAGAGGCTCCCCCTCTGGGCCACTACACAGCCTTGGCAAACATCTCCAGATGTTTGAGGGGGAGAACGTGAGGGAGAAGAAGAAGGGAGGAGAGTGGAGTAGCGAGGGCCGCACCATCGCTGGATTTTTTTTTAGCTTCGGGAGGGGCTCGTTGTCCTCTGGCCCTCAAGCAAAACCCCTGGAGTTGTGGTTTTTTTTTTTTTAATTTATCCATTTTTCTTTAACATATATGAGTGCTTAATAAACGGTGTATTGTCTGAGTCCATTTACATACACATAACTCGGTGGATACCCAAGTGCTTCACTACGAAAATATGTGGTCAGGCTTAGTTTTTGTAGGGAGGAAAATAAAGGAGGGAAAAAATTCTGCCTCTGCCTACCAGCATCCATCGGTGTTCATCCGGCTAGTGTCCTGAGAGTGGAGGGCTATTTGGAAACTGAAACAGTATTTGCTGTGTGAGCAAGGAGGAGACAGCAAGGAGCCTGGGCGTGGCTTAGCTCAACTGTCCTGCACTAAAGCGGCTTGGGGCGGTGAAACTGAAACTGAACCTCCTCTCCTCTGCTCGTGTTTTGCATTTGGAAGAGATTTCTTTTTTTTCAAGTGGGGAGGGGGAGTTGACCTCCTTAGCATCAGAGCATGTTAATAATAATAATAATATAGGAAATACTCTGAATGCTCTGATGGTCATTTCGAAAAATCCTTTCTTAGTGAGCACCTAGAAGCCGAGAGGAAGATACGGGCCAAATTTCACATTTGCAGGCTTTACGGTTCTGGAGATTTTGTGATGATGCGTGAGGGGCATTTCGCTTTTACAGAGATAGAAGATAATAGTAATAATAATATTCTTTACTTGAATGTAATGGTATTCTTCCCACTTCTAATTTCTACCTTTTTTTATTTAGCCACTGGTAAAACAAATCCTAAGTTAAAAACTATTCTGTATCTTTTTGTCCTTTACCTTCCATGTTAACCCATCCATTTTCACACAATCCAATTATTTTTTTTAAATTATATTTTCATCGGTGGGAGTTGCCTCATTTTTCCAGGGTTGTGCAAATGTAACCCTCGCGGCTGTCGAAAACGTGTCATATATTAAGTGTATGTTCTCTTTTATCCTTTTTTGGCAGTATCCCTAAACAGAAATCTTTCTTACTTTTAAGTCTAAATCAGGGGGTCTCCTACCTTGGCTACTTTCAGCCTGCAGAACTTCAACTCCCAGAATCCCCCCGGGGCTTAAAGTGGCCGAGGTACGAGACCCCGTGCATTAGAGCAAAGCTGGCTGGGGGATTCTGGGAGTTGAAGTCCACAAGTCTAAGTGGCCAAGGTTGAAACCCCCTGAAGGCCTCGCTTTCTCCCCCTGCCTTGTCTTTGGGTAGCCAGAAGGGTCCCACCCACCCACCCACCCACTTCTTCCTACCTTTCAAGGCCTCGGCCAGCAGCAGAGAGTGAGGCTCCGGGAAAGTGGCGCCAAGGCGGCAGGCTTGCAATCGGAGGGTGCCCAAGAGGGGGCAAGCCCGGAGCAGCGAGGCCAGAGATTGGGCGCTGCCGTCACCCAAGGGGTTCAAGCTGAGGTCCAGCTCTTCCAAGTTCTGGAAGGAGGGAAAAGGGGGTGAAGGGGCAGCCAAGCACAAGGAACTGGAGGGGGGTCAGGAAACGCGGAGGCCCCCCAAATCATCACCGATGGGGTCTTTTGAAGGTCGGGGTTGAACTGGGGAGTCCCGGGTGCTCTCTGAGGCGTTGCAGGCGTTTCATGACCCAACTAGGTAACATCATCAGTGATGTCCCTCCTTCCCTCCCTTCCTGGTCTTTGGTGCTCTCTGAGCTTGGTTGTTTTCTTGCAGGCGTTTCATTATCATCAGTGGTGTCTTCCTCCCTTCCCTTCCTTCCTTTCCTTTCTTCCTTCCTTTCCTTCCTTCCTTCCTTCCTTCTTTTCCTTTCTTCCTTCCTTTCCTTTCTTCCTTCCTTTCCTTCCTTCCTTCCTTTCCTCCTTTCCTTCCTTCCTTCCTTTCCTTTCTTCCTTCCTTCCTTCCTTCTTTTCCTTTCTTCCTTCCTTTCCTTCCTTCCTTTCCTTCCTTCCTTCCTTCCTTCCTTTCCTTCCTTCTTTTCCTTTCTTCCTTCCTTTCCTTCCTTCCTTCCTTCCTTCCTTCCTTCCTTCCTTCCCTCCTTC